GAGAAGAAAAATAAATTATTTCAGAATAAGTTGGAAAAATGTATAATTATGTGCATGTTTTAATTAATTTTTAGCAATTGCTTTCACCTTCAGCTTGGGATTGGTCCTGAGTATTTTATTTCCTATTAGATTTTCCAACTTCATAGTCCCAAAACTCTGATTTATACTGGGACATTGAGAATTGCAGTACCTAATGGAAAGCTTGATAAAATGCATTTTCTCTTAGCCTTTTAAGGGCCTCTTCATAAAAGTTTCATATAGATTGATTTTACTTATTATTATGGGGTCTGAACAGTCCCTCTAAGCTAGTACTATTTTAGTATAGGCTTTTACATTTTTATCAGCTCTTGCTTAACTACAGTTTAACTACAACATGAGGTCTTGCTCATATTTTAACAGGAGAGGTACAAGTAAACAATCAGATGTCAGCATTTGTTTCTTTACTTCTAGACAACATAATCAGCCATCATTTTATAATACTGAAGAGAGAAAAGAAAAATAATGCTATTCTAGAAAAGACTGCACATTCTGCAGCATGTTATATACATTTGGTTATTGTTTCTTTAGAATATCCCCATATTTTATCTGTATTGCCCACATAATAAATTGATGATTACAACAGTAACTGTGTGGCAAAGTTTAAAAACTTGGGCACTGCAATGGCCTCTCTTTTTATAAAGAACAGACAAAATCATGTTCAAACTGTGATCAACAATAGAATAATCATTTGCACATATGGACAGTCTAGGGAAGATTACAGTTTGGTTGGCAGAGCTTTTGTTTTAGGCTTTCTACAGACCCAGGAGGATGGTAGAGTATGAAAATAGAGTATGGGGGCTTTATGCTCCCCTCTTCATTGTTTTGGTGTTTTTTCCTAGATATTTTCTATACACTTTTCCTAGAACTATGGTTCTAGGAGGTTTATTTTAAACGAAAGTACACAAGGAAATGGCTAATTCTACAGGTCTTTCCTGCCTGTGGAGTTGCATCAAAAATTGCAAGTTACTGTAGTACTACCAGAGGGTTACCTCATTGAGTTTAAGTGGTTCACATTTTTTTGTGTTTTTTTCTGAACACACGGAGAAAAACAGTATCTGAGTCAGAGAATGTATGAGAGAGATTGAATAGGCTGAATACCTACCTCCCAGTGGTCACTAAGAATTTAGACGCTTAGATGAGCGTGCCCTTCTTTTCAGCACATGTTCATTGAGTTAAGATGCTCTCCTGAAGTAGAAGAGTCCTTGATAACCAGAACTCTGAGCTGCCTTTTTAATCGTAGTAAATCCAGAGCTGACTAAATTGCAGGACTAAAAACATTGCCTATAATCAGGTTCCAGGGGCTGTGCAAATGTTATGACCGAGCAGGGTTCCCTTTTTTGCTACGTGGGAAATTTTTCACTCTAAGCCAAAACTGATTGAAGTATGTTAAAAACTTAATAATAATAATTAGACTCTTTCATATTCCATCTCCAAGCTCTTCCTTCCCCCTCTCCCCATTCCAAAAAAGGGGCTGTCAAACCATATTACTATTACCCTATTTACTAGTACTGTTACTATGTTGTAGCAGACCCACTGATCTGGTCTTTCAGAAGTAACTGGTGGCCTGGAGGCCATTTCCTTCCTCGGAATTCCCTGCTTTGTCTTGAGGTTTTGATAGGCCTCCTTGTCCTCTTTGCTGACTGCTACAAGGTTTAGGTGAGGAATCAAGTAGGAAACCTTCAGATGTCTCAAGCTACAATGCTGCTCTTCTAACTGCCATCTAGTAACATGAGTATTTCTAATACATGCCAGCACTGCTAATCTGAACTCAAGAACTTTCAAGGATATTTATTTCGTGTTTGTTTCTGTGTATTATATGGAATCATTGTTACTAAGACTGTTCTGGATGATATGAAAAGGGAAATAGTGTTGAGGCATTTTTGAAGGTTGTAATTTTGGGGAGGCTTTAAAAGAGCTTTCAGCCATGTAGCTCTTAATGTTAAAATGCATGGTTTTGACTTTCTAAAGACGTACAAAAGAAAAAAAAAACCTTTTTCTCACAAGGTCTGCTGAATACAATACCTCCTTAGCGCTTAAGGTGATGTGATAGTGCTCCACAAACAACTGGAGACAGTACATGACACAAAAAAGTGTAATTACTCAAGTAACATAGAATATAGCTAATAGGTGTTTCCACCATGCCAGAAATGTGGCAAATACGGATGTAGAACATCCAAGCATATATCCTGAAAGCCACCCTTTACACACACTGTCTAAAATCAGAATTACATCTAGTGCTTATTGTTTTCTGCATTTGCAGTTGGAATCTTGGAAAGTCACTGGTCTTTTCACCGGCATGTAGACAAAGCGTAAAAGACAGCCTCAACTTCTTCATGTTCTGAAATTTCATTATGAAAGGAATTAGGCTCATAGGATCTACATTAAGCCAGTTAATGCAGTCTGAAAAATTCCAGTACATTACTTCTAGATCAGAGGAACCCAGTTGAATCGAAAGAATTGCAACCCACCTTCATTACTAACCACATTTTAGAAATACTGCATTAACATATTAAGTTATGTGTGAAAAGGATCCCAGGTAATGTATCACCCTGTAATAGCAGCTTTTATTTACATCTGTTGAAGCAGTTGGATGTAAAGTGCCTTTTTCTATAGATTTCGCTGGGCTATAAGAATTATCTCAGAGGCAAAATTTGAAGCAATCCACTCTAGAAATAAATTTTAATTTCCAGGTTAAAATTGTAAACAAATTTTAAATAAGCATGACTATCCTTTTAGAATAACTGTATGTGTAATTCAAAGCACTTTTTTCAATGGAATCCTTAGGCATATATAATTATAGTAATGCCCTAAGCTATGTATCTGGGAAACACATAAAAAGTCCAACAAAGAACTTTGTATTATATACTGCCCCTATTGATTGATTAATAACACATTTCATGAGTATACATTTACAATCAGTGCTTAAGATGAGGTAAATGGGGCAGTGTGCCATTCTGCCATTTTTGTGTATTTAAGTACCCTATACCGCAAGCCTTTTTGGGAAGCAGCTGCAGTAGATGGCTTGCAGGAATTCATGGGAACTGAGCTCTGGCAGGCACTGTGCTGTGTGATGTTGAGAGCAGCTGTCTCTCCCAGAGGACAGATCAAATTAATCAGTTGATAGGGAGTAGCTTGCTTTGCTGAGAGGCAGCCGCTCTTGGATCCAGCCCTGTTAAGTTCCTAGACCTGCCGGAGCCAGGAGATGCTGCCTCTTATAGGTGGCAAGATTTGTCTTTGTTAGGGAGCTGAGAGATCCCTGGTTTCTGAAGTCACAAAAGCGGGTGCCTGTTGCAAAGGCAAGAGGCCACTGGCGATGACGAGCAGTGTTTTGTCCGTTGTAATTAATCTGTTCGTTACTTAAGACGCTAGAGCAGATACGACAACTTAGCTAGCTAAGCTAAAATAGTAAACTAAAAATAATGATTTAGCTAATGTCTTAGGGAGAAAAGGACGTATCCTCAGCTTGGTGATCCGAGGGCTGGCTTTGAATAGTGGATTACCATCCACTTGTGTAGTGCCCCCCCCCGCACGTTCTCCCTCATAGCAGAAACCTTCTTGCACGGCAGCTGCTGTGTGTAATTGCCATCTATTCTGTGCCTTTCTCCACTGCCTACCTCATCTCTCTTTGCATCCCAGTCATCAGCCTTTCATCCCATCTCCCTCCCACCACCCCTTTTTTTTGGGTCTGCCTCCCAGGCTACTGTCATAGGGCATAAGGAGTGAGGGAACGGGTTTGAGAACTGGGCTTCTGCAGAAAGGAGGCTGATGGGAGCCTGCTCCCGCTGGAGACAAAAGTAGGGGAGAACTCTGCCTCCCTTCGGAGGCAGCTCACCCTGCAGGAGAGAGGCTTTCCCCACTCTCCTTGATTGTATGCACTGTCAGGATGCTCACCTCTCTCTTTCAGGCTGCACGGACAACTGTTCAGTTGCTCCATGAGCCTCTGCAAGCTCTTCCTTAATGGTTAGCTCCCCACCCAAGGGTGACCTGTTGGACCACACTGGCTTAGACATTTTTTCTGCCTAGCCTACTTAGCCCTTTCTAAGGCATGTATTCAGGCTGGCAGTTGTATGCATGTTTCCAGTATTGCCTCATGGAGACTTATGTCAACTAAGGTGGGTTTGGTTTTCTGTTTTGCTATTAGTGCAATATTGTAAAATATTTTTTTTTGTTTTGCTTAATTTTTTAGAAAAATTTGATTCTTAGATCTTCAAAAGATTAGAATCTTGTGACATAGGAAGAAAGTGCATGTAGCAGCACAACAGAGATGTGCCTCTGGCTATGGAAATGGTAGCTTTGATGTGCTCCTAACAAATCCCACCTAGTTCTCTGCTTGAAGGGAACTGCAATGTAACATCCCTTCATAAGTGTGAAGTATTTACATTTAATTAAATAGTACTATATAACAAAGCCATCTGGGTTGAGCAGTAGGAAAAATGAAGTATTTAGATAGGAATTCACCAGCAATACAGAATCCCAGAATGAAGAGTGAATTTACTCCATTTGCTTTGCCTTTTTTGGAGTTAAAATAAATAGGAGCTGAAAATGAGCGTAATTGAACAAAGAGAAAATAAGGCAATTTCCAGTAAGCAATTGTCTAGTGTACTATTATGTTCAGCATAACACCTAATGCTGTTAAGTTGAGCAAAATGTCAGTTGAGGAACACTAAGTGAAAAAAAAAAATAAAACTACAGTTTGTGTAGCTGAATCACTTTCACATAGTAAAAGGAAGTTAAGTCTCAGATTGGGACTAGTTATTGGAAACTATGAATCACAAAGACTAGTTTACCTATATTTCTTCTAAAAATTTCAGTGAACCTATTGAGGAAAAAAAAAAAAAAAAAAAGAAAAGACCACAGAGGTTGCTACTGTATTATCGATTGGAGTAGTGATGTGACACTTGCAGAAAATGGGCATCAGCTGACTTTTCTAAATTTTGCACTGGGTTTGAAGATAGCAGCAGTCCTTAAGTGAGCACCTGCTTTCTGACAATGTTTACTCTTCTAGAAAAAACACGCTTCCTGTAAGCAGTGGTAATTGCTTATAGTCTGATGACTGAAGAACACTTTGGCCACACAAATCTCACACCTTAGTAAAGTAAAATAAGTCCACGAGGTGAATTCACAGAAATTTACTGATATTTTAAAGTTTTGCAGATAGCCAGGTAGAGTAATAAATTCTCAAGAACTGTTCCTGTTCCTGCCAGTAGGCAGACTAGTTAGCTTTCAAACGACAGTTCTTTACCTCTCTATCCTAAGCAATTTGGACTATTTGTCCGGCATTTTCCATATAATTAACAGTTTGAAGAAAATGTATTTATATCAAAGATTATTTTAAATTTCAAAACAAAAGATGATTTGAAAATAAAAATGATTGGTTGCCTTTCTGTAGTTAAGGGGAGATTAACTGCATATGTTCCTACAGATCGGTTGAATTTTGGCTGTAGTCTTCATAAAGCAATATACTAACAATCCTTCTACATATTTCTTGTCGTTTCGTCTTGGCTGCCGCTGCTTTAGTTGTCGAGTATTCTTCCCGTCCACCTTCACCACTACCATATTTTACTGATGCAACTTGCAGTTACACTTATTCTTGGCAGAGCAGGAACATCTGTTTTCTGTAACTCTGAGCCTGCTGCTAATGGGTTTCCACAAACTGGCCTTGGAACAGGTGCCTGGGAGCAAAGTTGTAAGGTGACCGTTCTGCCTGCTATTTCTTTACCTTTCTGAGGGTGCATTCAGAAGGAAAAGCTCAAAGTCATTCTTGCACCATTGTGGGCAAAATAACGGATGTTTAAACAGCGTTGGCTCATTGGCAGTGTAGGTTTTCTTTTGTTTTTAACAGGTATTGTCTAAGGGATCATTTATTTTCTCCGGTTTATGCAGTGAGGGAGGCTTTATACTGCAAAGATGTAATTTTTTTTTCTAATTTTCTTCCTTAGTCTGCCATCTTCAACTTTCAGAGCCTACTGACTGTAATCTTGCTGCTAATATGTACCTGTGCCTATATCAGATCCTTGGCTCCCAGCTTACTGGACAAAAATAAAACCGGGTATGTTGTCCGATAATATTACAATTATTATAAATGCAGTATCTTTTAAGAATGTGTGATATTACAAGCTTTATAATCCTTTATGTAGGACTATCCCAAGACTTGAAAAAATAAGTCAATGATGTTTTATATCTGTCATCGTCAAAGATAAAATCTTCCTTTTGTGCCTTCTTGCACTAGAAGGCATTAAGGTATTTATAATCAATTAGCACAGTTTTATAGTAAGGATTTATTAAATCCTTACTTTCAGCTTGCAACTTACTTTCTCCTTATGCTTCTTTAGGCATACAGAATGAGTAACAGAAAGGAACCAGTTTTTCCCTTCATACAGCTCTCACTACAGTTACTTTTGATTCTTAAGGCTGTACTATAAAAAATTAACCGTAGAGGCCATTTTATTCTACTAACTAGATGTTTCGATGTTTCGGAGGCACAAGTTTGAAACAGGACTTCAGCAATAATCTGTAACTAAAAAAAATTGTAAATATTTTTTAAAACATGCAACACTATCCTTATCTCTCTAGTCTCTTTTAAAATCATTGTTTTCCATTCTCCAAGATTCAGGAGTTTTTACAAACTTTCCAAAGCTTTTTACTAAACCAAATCAGTGGGTTTTTTTTTTCCTTTGATCACTACAACTACATCTTTCACTTTTATTCCTATGGCCTGTTTTCCTAGGTGACCAACCTTTTTCTCCTCTGAATTCCCAGTTCCCTGGGAATGTGGTAATGCTGCTGGACCAGCAAACTGGTAAAGCAAACTGATTCTTCCCTAGCTTGCTCAGCAGCAGAATTCTGGGGGTGATGGGGAAGGGGAGATCTACAGGGCAAAATCTGTGCCTCACTTAAGCTTTTACAACCCATTCACCTTTTGGCTTACCAGTTTTCTTTATGCTAAAAAGAATATGACTTAGCGTTGAATCCGATGAGCAGGAGGCAGGATTGTGATTTAATTGCTTTGTTTTTAAGATAATGATTGGGCAGTTTTGACCTAGAAACCACTGAGGCCATCTGTAGTGATTCAGTAATACAGTCACCTGAGGTTAGTGTAAAGGAGAAAATTTTTATAAAAATAGGGGGTAATTTATTAAAGCTGGAAAAGATGGATGAGCTTTTGGACTCTTGAGTCTTTGACTCGTCCACTTTTTCTACCAAATCATTTGCCATTAAATGAAATGTTATCTGAGTATCTCCTGTCACTTCTACATTTATTTCAGAAAAAGCACCAAGTTTTAAATTGATCCTTGTCATACCAAGGACTTCTGGGGTTTTGTCTTCTAAAAATCTTCATGCAGTTCATTTTTGGCATTGCCTTTTATCACACAAGTTTGTTTTTTTTTTAGCTTGGGGCTTACAATATAGATATCCAGAGTGTGCTAATTTTTTTCATTTGGAGTACTAACATGAAAATGTTTGTGTCCTTTTTCATAAGGTCATAGGGTTTCCATTGACATGAGAGATTTCTTTTGATCACAGTAAAGATGGAAAGAAAGGATGATTTCATTAAGGACTGTGGGTTTGTGGGTTTTTGTTTCTGGGTTTTTGGGGTTTTTTTTTGGTTTTGGGGGTGGACTTTTTTGCTAATGGAAGGTAACACAATAGTCAATGAGGTATACACAGTAAGGACTAGGAATATTTATTTTACTGATTAAAATTCTAGTGCTGTTTTTGGCAAGGAATATTTCCTTTAATCTGGAGCTACTCTGTTTATTTTTGAGGCAAATCTGTCTCAAGTACAATAGAACTCTCTTCATAAAATGTTTTCAAAGGGTGCTGGCCCAGTGCAGGAGTTGAGCATTTGATCTGTAGGTTTGTATTTATATAGATGTTGGACATATTATTTTATTTTTGTTTTTTAGATAGATAGATATAGATTACTTTGTCCTGGAGAATAAAATGTTGGCATGGAAGCAATAAACTTAGTTTGCTGAATGGTAGATATTTATATGGAACTCATGTGCTGTTAAAACCCTGTTCCTCTTCACTACCATATTCCATGCTTAAATGGAAATGTCTAGACATACTGGATAAAATAAATTCTAGTGATATTTCATCTTACCACAGAGAAGATCTTACTTTATTAGTCCTGCTCCAAATTAATAGCATAAAAAGTAGCAATAAAATATTAAAGTAACAGAAAGGAGAAATGTTAAAGAGTTATTAGCTAGATTTCTGACTAAGTAAATAGTACACTTGGTAAAGACTTAAATATTTTGAGATAGTAAGCAAAGAAACATGTTTCTGTTGGTTAAGAAGCTGTGTTGCAAAGTGATGTCACGCATCCTCATAGTGTTGTATTTCATCCCAATAACTTCTGCCAAAATATTATGTATTTTCCTACCAAGCCAAACAGAATTTTAAACCTTCATTTTCCCTGAGGTGTCTTGAGTGTTTCCATGTGCTTTGTCCTGAGCAATAGCATTTAAGCAAAGCAAGAGGAGATTTACTGTTTCATACAACTAGAGGAGAACGCATACCACAACATAACTTTCTCCTCCCTGCTAAGCAGAAAGATGTGTTAGCTTACATGCAAAAGAGATTTCCTTTGACTTGCCTTAAGCACTGCAGCGGCATATATCTCACACTCCCTGCAGCAATTGCAGTGGGATTGTCCTGGTAAACACATAGCAGCTATATTTTGCAGCATTCTGACTCTTGAATGCAAAAATTAAAATCTCATTAATCCTTTTGTGCTATGCTGGGTCCCCCTCACCATTTTTTTTTTGCTTATTTGGCTATTTTTTTCAATGCCTCTTTCGTGATCAGCACTTTTAAATTAGCTCTGAAAACAAGGAATACGTAGCAGGTCGCACATGTTTGAGTTGTGTCTGCCGGAAAATTGCAGGTTTGCAAGCCAGACTGACAAGTTCCACCTGCATCAGAAGAACAAGGATAAGGATGACTATAAAGGAGAGAATAAGGACCAGTACAATTACTTTGAGTAGTTGCTTCAGGAGGAGTCATTTTGGAGCAGATTCGTTCAAGGCAGCAGCATTTTTATAATGATCAAACAGGTCTGATTATTACAGACTTGAGAATAGGTACATGCTGTGGACCTGAGATGCACAGTAATCAAAAAAGTCAGGGGAGCAAAAGGCCTGCACAGGCTAATCTACCCATGTGAGCTTCCAGATGCACCCAAAAGTTCTGGTTGTAGCTGTTTAGAAGCTCCAGATCTCAGTTTGCTATTGCTCAGCAGCTAACAATTTGGAGAAACAGGTCTATAATGATGGCAGGTGAAGCCTCTTAAGTAGGTGCTGTTGTTATGTGTTGGCAAGCTTGTCAGACCTCATCGTGTCACTGGTGACTCTAAAATCATAAGTTGCTGATTGCAGTAAGGGCAGCTGATGAAGCCCATATTCTCACTATATTCCACATCAAAAGGGGAAAAGTCAGTATTTCCACCAAGACTCTTCAGTCAGTTGGTTTAATGACATCAACAAAGAGCTCTTGTCTTCTGATTCCTGAACTTACAAGATTTAGAGACTCTCCTACCGTGGCTGATGAAGCTAATTGGCTTTTACGAAGCAATAAAGGCCTGGGGTTTGTTTTTTAAATCCCACCTGGGCATTTGCATGATAGCAAGAGAATGCACTTTTAGAAGATTTTGGAGGGCTAGGAACAATGTGCTACTTCAATTATAACACAGTGCAAAAAAAACCCAAAATGGCAAAGAAAAAGCCTTGCTGAGAATGTGAGGCAAACCATATGGATTTGTAGACTGCCTTAAGGAGATGATAGTATTCTTTCTCACAAATAAAATTCTTCAAGTATGCGTAAGAAGAGTACAGTAATGTTTTGTTTCTTTTGAATCCCTAGGCAAGCTTTTGACAGATGACAACATGAGCTGCAGGGCTATAGAAGTTCTGTGATGATTTTGCTGAATGTAATCTGTAAATCTTAATTTTACAGAGATTAACTGTTTCAATATTTGAGTACCATTTACAGAGAACTATGAGGCTGTGTCTTTTGCTCTGTAAGATTGCTACGTGAATGCCCTTTCACTTGAATGCATCTTCTAAAAGTGCATGGATGTCCTTAGGTTATTTCACTGTATAACCTCACAGCCTGGAAGAGTGTGATCATCTACATTAAGGAATTACTGTGGAGCTATATAATATTGTGGAGCTATATAAAAGCAGAAAAATGAGTTTTGACTATATAGAAATACTCTGGGCTTGATGTAAAAAGATCTAAAACACAAATGGAAACATTTTTTCTAAAAATGCAAGTACTAGAACACTTCAGGTATGAATTGGTCAATAAGAGATATTTTAGTCCAAAAACATTATACTGTCATTTCAGAAAAACCTCAGTCGCTTGCTGCCTCTCGGAACTCTTGTTTCTGACCTGCCTGACACCAGTTCCTTATTTCAGAAACAAAATTTTAGAAATGAAAAAGTAGCTTACAAAAAATACAGTTCTTGCTCTTCTGCAGCAGGAACTTGGTCTATTCCACATCAGAGCCCTGAGCCCTTCCCAATAGTGGAAAATGATACCGTTATGACTAAAAAAGACCACTAGATGGAAAGAGGTAGGACACTGAAGTGAGCTGAAACTATAAAAGAGCTCCAGCTAGAAACATGTTTATGTAACACAATTTCTGAAACAAAAAGCAAGATACGCGGACTGCTGAAGTACGCAGGAGCAAGTGGCCCAAACCTGCATTTTTTCTGCTCTTTTTTCAAAGCAGAAAAAAATATGCTATTGCCAAAGCCCTAGAACAACAGAGGGAAGACAGATAATCAGACCAGTGTGGAGATGGGTTCAAAGCATTTTCGGAAAGCACCTCGAGAACTGCCATCACAGCAGGTCATAGAGACAGCCCCACAAATAACATAGAGTGAAGTTACTGCTGATCACAACATATAATCATCAACATAAAACATAACTTAGTTATGTTTTAGTTCATAAATCTGTATTTAGTCCATGAGTTATACGAATCCAGATGTTTTTACTGCACTGCGACCAGCCACGCTACAAAGGAAACCATCCTATAGGCAAGCTCTCAACACAGCTTTGACTACCGTTTGAATGGCTGAAGCAGGATTCTTTGGTAACACATCACAAGCACACACACAACCCCTTTTCTAAAGTGTTCCCAGCCACTTTTGTTGTTCATATTGAGCTGTCAATATGAGATTATCTTAGTTACAAAGAGAAATTGTGTGTGGCATACTTGCTTGTCCTTGCTTTGGATGTACCCTGACTCCTTGAATCCTGCTTAGCTGTTTTACTTGTGAGACTTAACCTCTTGGGTAGGAGGCAGGATTAGAGAGACTTTAGCAAGGTAAACCTTGGTAAGAAGTAAAATCAGATCTGGAGAATTATTTTGTAAATTATTGCAACACAAGTATTCTATAAACCAGATATATCTACAAGTGTGTTTTGCTAGAAAGTGCACTTTTTAATCTACTAAAGGAAATGCAAAAAAGATACTATTAAATTTAAATTTAAAATACTCAAATTTACCATCTCTTGCACATGCAGGAAGACTTGCTTCAAAATCTTACTTAAATATTGTCATTGTTTTTTCCCATTCTGTTATTGTACCAGTTCTTTTTTTTCATTTTTTCTCTGCATAATTTTTTGTCTGGGTCACTTTAATGTAGAACATGGAATTCTGAGTCATCTGTCCATTACCTAGCCAAAGATTAATTCTTTTCAATTTCCTCTTTTTAAAATAATATTCCAGATGAAATTTTTAAATTTGGAACACTGCGTAAATGTACCTTTGTTTTTCTTGCATGCAAAAAATGGCAGACAAAGAGAACTTCACTATTTTTTTAGTTCATAGCCTGTACCCCATGCAGGCATCTGGTGTTTTCTGATGTTGAGAATAGTGTCAGCGTTGAAAAAATTCTGTTTACTTGCACTGCTTAAAAGTGGAAGGAATAAAATGAATCAGTCAAAATCTACTTAGGTTTTTCTTAAATCAACAGCCTAACAAATTTCTTTATCTTTACAGACTATTGGGCATATTCTGGAAATGCGCCAGGATTGGTAACTTTTTTTTTTTTCCCCGAAAACTTTAAGACAAAAACTTTTTCGATAGCATATTTATTAGGATAATGTTTCCATGTAGCAATGAAAACCATACTCATACATCAACTTAAAAAAATGCAGGTTTCACCTGCATGAAATCTGGAGAAGACGAAGGGGGTTGTATCAATATTGCAGAAGCCTGCATTTTTTTAATGTTAATTCATATCTGTGTAGCTACGTTTGCAAAGATCTTTTGCACTTTTTACTGCATGAATAACTGAGGACATACTTCTTATTAACGCATATACAAAAACTCAATGATTTTTTAAAAACTGCTGCCTATTTGAAATTCTGGCTTTTGCCAATAATGCTTAATAGTGATAAAACAACATGGAATTTTTCATGCAGTAAAGTTCTGTTTAATCACAAATCTTTTTTCTCTCCTTTCTTTAGTTATCTTTTACGTACTTTTAAATTACTTAGAACTGCTGCTACCAAGTGGCATGTATATAGAGTCTGACCAGCTATATCTGATTTTAGGCATTTTCCCATAATATTACAACACTGATATTTATTTTCATCCTTATTCCGAATTTATTTTTAAATGGAAGAAGGATTATACATTGAAGTTCAGCCTTATCATTAAGGAATATCCAAAAAAGATTTTTTTAAAAATGAAAATCTATCATTAAAACACTGTTCTTCAAATTGCATTGTTAATGAACAGCAGAAGTATGGTACTTGTAATTTTTGATATTACTGTTTGTCAGTGAACCCACAGGGAAATGCATGGATCCGTTTGCTACCTTCTCAGGCCTTGAAAGGGAGGAGCTTTATTTTTCAGCATGTCAGAAAGTACTGATGCACAAAACAGTTTTTTGTGAAGGCCTCTTAAAACGATTGCAGACATTTTGTCCTATCTAGATAATACACATAGCAGAACCGAAAGTTCAGTCTTAATATTGTAACTGAAATAATCTGGCAAGGTGACAGCTGTCAGAAATAATTCTAAGCTGTATTTGGGTTTGTTCAAAGTTGAAGAATAAACCTTACCTTACCATCATCTTTTTACTTAGCAAAGCACAAACATATCTTTTCTTTTTACTTCGTACAACAAGCCATGTAAAAAGCTATTTAAAGGAATATACAAGGTTTTATGAGGTCCCTGTCAACTTGATACAGTTAAAAAATGCAGTTCATCTATACTGTAGTCTGCCTCTAATAACTGATCTAATATCTTCTAATCTAGTAAGTTTGAGAAGTTGTGTGTTTGTTGGATCCAAGGTAATACATGTACTATTGTGCCCCATACTAAGCTTCTTTCTCTTCCCTTCTTCATATAAAACATTTTATTAATTTTGTTTGAACTTGTTTGGTGCGACCTAATTTGATTTTCTTTTAGATTGTCTGACAAATGAGGTAGGAGCTTAACTCTACTACTATGCATTTCCTTCTAAAACAGCAGAGCATCGTCAGTGTAGGAAGTGGGCTTTGAAGATGATTCTTATGATTTTGGGGGGTTAGAGTCACAAAGACATGCCGAAAAGTGCTGGCTTTTTAAAATGAGAATGCCCACTGGCTTCCTTTGTGTTTAACTTACCCAGTATGTTTAAACAACCTTTTCACATGTGCATAAGACTTTAATAACCAGTGAGTGGTTACATATTTACGAAGTTGTGCAAAACGATGTTTCATCCTGCCACATGGTGATTTTTCTTTCAAGAAAATTAAGAGCAGGAAAGTAAAACCCATATGAAAATTGTAATACTCTAAACTGTAGGAGGTGGACTTCCTCAAAAATTTATTTTAAACAGATGTGGAACTACAGACATTAATTCACTCAGTTATTTGAAGTTTAATTAAATATATGCCAGATGATGACAACATCTTGTAATGTCACTGTGGCAGGCACCTCTGCTTATGGGAGGTGTCACTACGAGTATCTTATTTTTCTTTTGCTGTGGAAAGTTTGTTACTCCTGCATTTGAAAGTCCTGCTAGTGAAAGAGCCTCTTTTTCTGAGGATTACACCTTAATGCTGGCGTCGGGAGCCTTGGCAAGTTTTTTTCTGTAATGCTTTTCTGGAAACTGCATCTCAGAAAAAGTGTTTTACAGTAAGACGGCAGGCTGTGCACAGCAAAGGGAAACTGAACTTTGTTTAAAGCAAACAGCTCCGTCGCTGTCTTTACACTTCTGAATGCTCTGGAGAGGAATTTGCTTACTTCAAGGAATCATTGTTAACACTTCCTGACAGTTGTGTAGGCTGGAAGTAGCATCTAGTATAGGAAGCTATCTTTCTGCTCTCCAAAGAGAGAGCAGTTGTTAACGGATTCACAAAAAGTAATGCGTAATTAGAGGAATTAAAACAACTACCAGTTGAATGGAGGAATTACCCATGTAAATAGGTAGCAGTCAGGTTAACAGAACATGTTCCTGTGATTGTTCCAGTTCCCTAACTAAGGCTCATTCTTTTCATAGCTTACTTGGTGAGCAAGAGGCCTATGTAATACTTTGTTTTGGATCAGATAGGCAGGAACAGATCTTTCTTGCTCGCTTCTGCCACAGAAGCCTGTTAACCAAGTAAATTTAACTTTATTGATGGCCTACTGCAGGTAACTACAACACCAAGCAATTTGAAAGAGTCAGAAATAATGTGTCTGTGTAACTTCTGTAATTCTGTAGCTCATTTTTATCACTAACCTAAAAATCTGTGGACCAAATTCTCTCCACATGCTAAAAAATGTTAGTCTCTCTAGCAAGGAAAAAAAGCAGGCATCTGGGCAGCTATGAGGTCCCTAGCCAGTTAGCTGGCTCCCACATGATACCATGCGTAGAAGATGCATGCTGCATGTAGCAGCAGTCTTGGCCAGACAGTGTTGAGTTACACCTCTTCTCAGCTGACATGGAACAGCTTTTGAACAGCCTCTGCCTGTAACCAAAACTGGGAACAGAGTCAGGAAAAGATGTGGTGTCTTGATCAGCTTTCTGATGCCTGCCTCCTGACCCTCTTGGTGCCAAAGAGAATTTTTAATGAAGCAATATATACTATCCTGTATCTTAGTTTTCCCACTCCCGGGCATCTTCTTCCCCAGTATACAACTGTAGTTGTAATCAGCTATAACTATTGAATATTATTTTGCATGTGCAACGTGATAATTACCATGTTATGCTAGGTTCAGCCTAGAATTGTTTAGTAATGCCTGAATTGTTTTGTTTGATTTTTTTTTTTCCCCTGCCCAGGTGAGCGGAAGAGTCCATATGTAGCTGTATGCTGTGTAGTGATGGCCTTCAGCATTCTGTTTGTGCAGTAGCATTGGGGAACGTCCCTTACAACTTACTGCCAAACATCAAAGAATGGAAGGAACTTTGGCAGAAAAGATAGAGCGTCATCAACTATTCTCTCACATGTTGAATGGCCTGTCTCTTAGCAGACACTCCCACTCCTGCAAACGGACCATAGTGTACAGTATTAGTGATCATAATTAACTCCAGTATGATGTGTACTTATTAATGTCAAGTCAATACTGATACTGCTGATGTAACTATTCGAAACTTGTCTGTTGCATATCTGAGTTCCAGGGGAGTATTTTTTACAACATGCAGTTGAAAAAGCATTTAATTTTTTGTTTGATAGACCTATTTTCTGAAACTTAAAAATGGCAACTCTGTATAGCAATAAGACCACTCTTATAAGGAAAAAAAAAATTGATTGTAGGATATGTTTACAAAAGTATTTTGAGTTCATTACTGTCTAAACAATTCCTGTCATCTTGTGACAGGTAAATATGCATACTAAAAATATCACTTCTGGCTTAAGTTACATTCAGCTTCTGTCTTTTAAGTTTGTAACTGCTCAAATTATAAATATTTTGATTATTAAGATTAAAATATAAATAAAGGTAGGGACCATAATTGTAGTGATGTCTGACTACGTGCTAAGAAACGCACAAATTTGGGATGTGAGAACCTGGATCTGGATTTGTAGAAATCACATGTATTCATTTTTAGAGATCTGTGTTTCAGGTAGTGTTCTCCAATTTATTTCAATATTGCGACACAAAGTTTCTAACAAACAGCTCTGCTGCTGCTGCTTTTGATATATGTAATACCATTTCTTGATCTGCAGACTTCTAAGAAGTTATCTTGTCCACTTAGCTGATTTAGCAATGTCCTAAGTCCCAGTGTTCTAAAGGTTAAAGAAAATGGCTGCATTAGATTACATTTACTGTTAATAAAGATTAGGTTTCCTTTAAGACGTTAATTTAGCGTTTACTCTATATTTTTGAAAACTTTTCATAATTTACTAACTTATTTTAGTAGTATCTAATAGGATTGTTTACACCAGACTATTGTAGAACTTCATATTGACTGCATTTGAGAGAGTTGTCTGTCAACAGTATTTTGTTATTTTGAAAAGGTGTGCACTCGGAGTTAGCTAAGCTGGCAATAAAACACACTAAGATACGTAAAAGTTGTCATGCTTGTTTGAAAAAAATGTTTCATAGACCTGAATTAGCCTGCACTTGGAAAGAAAGTGATTATTAGTTATTACCTTTGTATTACACCATGTATACCTGCATATCTAAATCACCACTAAGAGTTTCCTCTTATCCAAAACTGCTTGCTAATCCAGAGCGAGTTAAAACAGATTTCACCAATTTAGGCCAAATACCTTATCTCTCTTACTAACTGTGAAGAAAATGTTAAAAGCTTAAAGTCATTTTGCAGAGAAGCTCTAGAGCCTTTCCTCAAACCCATCAACATTTGACCAAGGTATAAATGTTGTGAGAAGGAAGGGGAGAGCATAATGTTGCACACACACACACACACACACACACATACACTTGATAGCAAGCAAGGATGACAGCAAGTCATCCTTAAATTCTGAGACTAAACTGTGTCATTTTCAAACAGCAATACAGCACAGGCTCTAACAGATTTATATCAGAAGAGATATCATGGAAAACTCTCTTTTTTTGCACTCACCTTCAGGCCTAGACTGAGTGGAGAAGGAAGTGAACGCTTATTATCAAATAACGTAGGTGCTGAAGTAGACTAGAATGGCAGATAGACAAATTGTAGGATTTGACTTAAGTTGACACAGCAAATAACGGCTGTTACAAGTGGATGAGAAGACAGTAAGAGAAAATTTTGGCTGAGGTGCAGGAACAGATGACCACAGCAAGTCTGTGGACACCATGTCCTATATAGAGGTGCTGGAAGATGGGTCTTCCTTGAACCTGTGAATGGAGCAGTGTTTGCATATGACTATACTGCAGCAGAGCTTACTAGTATAAAAAAATACTTCCACTCTGGGAACTTTCCTCTTACCTAGTCAGCTGACAAAACATGAATGGTGGCTCTATCAGTGTTGGCAAGCTTCCTTATCTGTACTTGCTGCACATGCTGCACAAAGGGTGAGGGTGATGTAGGCTGTGGTCGTAAGTGCAGCTCAGGGTGTAGGGTTGAAAAAGGAAGAGAGGAATTACATCAAGAACATTGGGTCTCATCCTTTTTTTTTTCTACTAATGAGCAAAGGAGACACTCCACATGTAGTTGGCCAAGATGGAGTATTCTGTTCAAGAAAGGGCCAGTAAAGAAAGCAAAGGCAGGAAAAAGAGAGGAACATGGCTGTAGCAGGAGATCTCTACGGAGGCCTGAAAAATAGGTAGGTCCCAAACCAGTCATTTTGCTTGACTCAGGTCTGTTTCAGAAACTGTTTGTGCTAAACTGTATATTCCGTTGAATAAAAAGTGCAAGATGCTGCAATAAAATCCTGTATTTTCTTTCAGTGAGTAGTTAAGGATATGAAACAAAGTCTAAGATTTTGCTGGCAACTGTAGCCTTTTCAATCCCTGCAATTAATGCTAACAAGCAGAATGCAGGAACATAAAAGGGCATTTTCCATTAAGAGAGCATGAATTGGATCAAGATGATGGAACCTGACGTGCTCTGCCTTCTAAGTACTACGTGTTACATGAGCAGAAGGAAAAGGCACGGACCCTAGATCTTGTGCTTGGCGCAAGACTGAGGATCTCACTATGCGGCATTTTACCTTTGTGATTGCCACTTACATAGAAATACCTAAGCGGTCTTGGAGATTAATAGAATTATTAATCTAGGCAAGAGTAGGAGTCCATCTACAAACCATTCCGTTCCCAGGCAGCTAGCCTGAACTGAGTTGTGCACTGCCACAGCTATGTTGCCATTGCTTCAGTCAGGTCACATAAAACTAAATTTTGCCACAATTACAAATTTGCAATCTTTGAACAAAATGTGACAGTGTACTTGCTGTGTGTGAATCCAAATTTACTGCTTACTGATGAGTTAATTACAAATTCATACGATAAAACCTGAAACATGATGTCTTGTTCTTTGGCTAGAGAGACTATTTTGTGCCCATTATGGATTTGTGCTATATTAACTTTCATCCACATCTGCACTCTAAATGACCTCAAATTCAAAGCAGGGATTTAGGAAGACTAAATTGAAAAACAGCAATAGTCATGCTGGGAAATAAGTATGAGTAAGTGAGTGATGGGATCACTGTAAGGGTCTGATGTTCTGGAGAGACTGATAAGCAAAAGGGCAGACTAGGTAGGAGGAAACACAAAGTTGAGTCCAAGGATGACTCGAAGATTTCATGGCCTTGGAACAATGTTATTGTTTTATGAATGCCCTGTCTACCTCGTTAACCACAAGTAGTGAGCAATGGAATTATGCTGTAGCCAGGAGATGAAATTAGTGTGGTAGAGGAAACTATTACTCTCTTAGTGTTCTCAGGCATTTATTCTTTCAGTTTGCTCACAGTCTGAAACAATTCATGTTGCCCGTGAAGACAACGTATTATTCATGAATAAAACAACCTGCAGTCACTCTAAAGCCACTAGAAGCAAAACTCCTGAAAACTCTCAGTTAGGCTTCTGTGAGTGTTACTTTAGAAAACAAGGCTATAAAATCATTAAACGTATTATTTTGCAGTTTACAATTTATTAGAAATATAGCCAGTATTACTGTCACTTTCAGGAGCATGACTGGTATTTTACCACTTTTGAACCCCAAAACATTCTTGGATTTCTGATGACCGTGTAGAGGTAAAGCCACCCTTTCCATTCTTTCCAATGTCTCTGCAGCGGGTCAGGAACTACAACAAAAGATACTGTGGCTCCAGTTCTATCCCACCGAGAGTAATGAGAATTTTGCCTTTGGATGCTAAGGGGAGAGCCTGTTTAGAAAGGCTCATTATAATCGATTCTTTTCCCCCTTCTCCTTCTCATGCTCAGACTATTCTGTGGAGAAAAGTAAAGTAACATCTTCCTAATAGTTCAAAATGCTAGGGAGGATAACAACCAACAGGAGCCAGGAAAGTCTGATCTAAGCCTGCCTCATCTCATGCTCATGAAAATTCTTTACATTATCTAGTTAGAACATTGGCAGTTAGGGAAGGTTTTTCAGCCTGTTTTTTTCCTGCCTTTTGTCTTGTTTTACTTGAACATAATTATTAGTCCAGTAGTGCTTACAGCATATTTTATGAGGTTCATATATGTTTCCACATGTATTTGTTGGTATTTCACTAGTGAGAAAAGTACTTTTCCTTCCACTTGTGTAATGCAATGTAAGCAGCATGATGGGCGTGGAAGATATACATAGACATTGAAAAAAAAGTTTTGAAAATGTGACCTAAAAAGTTGCTTGCTTGACTACAGTTCTTAAGTTTTAAAAAAAATTTTTTTTCATGATGCCCTATGGTTATAAGCAAGCGAAGTGTGTGGAGAAATATAGTCATTTTGTGAGACCAGCTGACAGCTGGGGAAAAAAAAATGTACTTTTGGACAAGGAAAGTCTTCTTCAAGTCTGAAATGACAAATCTCACACAAAGAACTAACGTATACTCAGCTTTAAGCTCACCTCCTCTGTTTCAAACCTGAAGGGCTCATGTGCTCAAAAGGCTATTTTTTTCAAATGTTCGATATCTGACAAGACATAATATCCCTCCTGACAACTTTTGCTTAAAATTTCATAACCTGTTCTTTGGCTAATATACCACAGGTAATCTATAATAAGTAACCTCTCGGTTCACAGTGTACTATTCTGTTTTGTTATTTGACAAAGGAGGTCTCAGCTCCTGTGATGAAACATGAGTCACATTGTGTTTTCACTCAAGCTTCTGATACTTCAGAAACAAAATAGCCTTGGACACTACAGCTCACCCATTACTTTCTACCAAAAAAGGAACCAGTGGCCTTTAAGTAAGTTATCAAATGCGTCATTAACCTAAATCTGAAAGACCTTCCAAAAGGAGTATGATACTGACTCACATAATTCCCATTGACATAGGAGTGAAATGGCAACATTTTCTCAAGATCCTGGGTATAAACCTTTCAAATGACAAAATTACTCCTGCCATGTTATAGTATGTCTATAGAGAAGACAATTACTTAATGAGCTTCTCTGTGAAATGCAAAAACTTCTAAGAGAGCACACAACAATTTCTGCTACTTGAAAGAGCTCGTTGGAAACTGCTACATTGAGAAAAGCTTTTCCCTCAAACTCAACAGAGTAGGAAGCGGTCAGAGTGCATCTCCAGCACAACCGTGAGCATATCCAGCTATATGCTCATTTCAGTAAATTGTCGGAGTTGTGTAGGCCAATTCAGACTCTATGGGGGCCAAATGCAAATTCCGTGGAACTCCACTGATCTCTATTTCAACATGATATAAATACATACAGTCCAAACAAACACCACCAGGGTCCTTGATATTCTCAGTGTCATCTATTTACATCACATACAAACTAATCAGAAGAGTTTACCACCTCACTCATACCAGATAATAGCATTTACTTTTGGCATTTTCAGTGATTAAAGCGTACTATGCTTTCCCCTAAAGGAAGACAAGGAGATTTTAAAGCATAAAATTATAAATACTTTTACTTATTCTGTAAAAAGACTTGTTGTCAAACACAAAAACTTCACTGTTTTAAAGCAAAGTCAAGTCAGGTCAAAATATAAAAATACTCTTCTCAATTCTAAAGTCTTCACAGCTAGTCATTCCCGCATGCAGAAACTTAAATAACCTCTCAGGGCCGTAGTATGGCTAAAGAAGAGTCCAACAAAATGATAGATGTATTTGGATGTAAATGTCACACCCAGTGGAATTACAAGGAAATAAATAGTAATTTAACAGCACTGGCAAGCTGCTCTTTCGACTGTATAGCACCACCAGCATATTTTACGTGTGTATCACAGTCATGAATAAACCAGACCAGACACACACATTCACAAATCAGTTCTGATTTCCTATTAAGCTACATGCATATTTTCCTCCCTCCGACCCCTTTTAACTAATGAAAGAAGACAAGGAAATGCACTGATCTTAGTCTCTAGAACAAATGTTAACTCCAAATTCTCATGATTGTTCTCACACACTGGTAAAATTTCAGAAGAGAGAACACAAATCCCTTCCTAATAATAAATTATTTTTGACATTTGAATTGTTTGTCATTTACTATAGACATAAAATCTTGATACCAAAATTGCATTTAAAATCACCATCATCACTAGCAACGTGGCTGGGGCTACAGGGTTTGAATTAAGAGATCCTAGTTTAAGAAAAAGTGTATATATATGCAATCAGCTTGCAATGCAAGCAGTCAGTTTATTCTTTCCCAAACGACTTCTCTGCACAGAATGTGAATCTGCCTGCTGAAGAATACGTTTTAACATAAATCTGGTAGTCTAATGATATTGCTCCTTAAGAGATTGGAGACATGGAAAAGACTCTGGTCTCTGGGTTCACGGTGACTTGTGGAAGCAATAGAAATGGGCCAAACAAAAGAAACACAGGATCCTTAGCACATTCATCTCTGCAGTACAGAACTATAAGAAATTGCCTTTCAAATCCTTCCTCCTTATCTTGCAGAACCTTTCCAAGCTAGAGAGACCAGAAGTGAGTGCTCTGTCTGTTTTCAGGCTCTCTCCCTTTGCTTCTTGATCAAAACAAGCACATGCTGTCTGGCTTCATCAGCTACTCTCCTCCCACTTGACCACAAGTCCAGCTGCTTCAGGCCATATCCTGATAGGTTTGCCTATGCCACCACCTTCTTCATATCCCTTCTGCTGCTTTTCTTGCTTTTACAGCCCTTTAAACTCTCCTTCCTCACTTACACTCAGAAGTTCCTTCCTCAGAAGTTTCTTCCTTCTCCCTTGTTGCACTAGTAATACTGTGTTTGATTGCTCACTTCTAAACAGCTCCCTTCTCTTGTCTGCTGCACTTTATGCACCAAAAGCTGCTTACATTGATCTATAATCTATCATTCTGTTCTTCATTTCAAATCCACCCGTTGTTGAAATTAAGATCCCTCAGTTCTTTCTTCCCAACTATCCTGTATTTTCCACTCCTGCTTCTATTTGCTTGATTTCAAGACCACTACACTTGTGCAGCTTCTTCCTAGCAAAACACAAAGCAGTCATGGAGAACAAGGCAATTCTTCCTTTTCCCTGTTTTCCCCTTTCATATGGTGAGGTGATCTTGCTGGCTTGCAGACTTTGCAACCTGATAGAATGATTCACAAGAATCTTAACAGTATAGGCTACTACCTAAACTCATTCAGACCACTCATCTCACATTTGGAAAATATATTTTAACAGAAAAACAGGTCACAAACCAGGAAAGTGCTCTCTATGACAAGTTTATTCTATTTATTTAGTATGCCTTGGTGAGGGGCTCTGAACTGCACATATACAAACAAATCTCATTGCTCCTTGTCATAATAACGTACAATATAATATACAGACAAGGGCTCCACTGCCATGATCTGTGCATAAGGAAGGGAAGCTTGGTAACCTTCAGTTGCAATTACTGAATAATTCACTATTCTTGGGGAGTAATTTATCAACTCCTTGCTGAGCCAGCAGTTTGTGTCCTAACAAGCCCAACACCACCACCTGCCCTTTATCAGTCTCAGGGTTCAGATTCCAGATGGAGAAGGAGGAAACAAAGAACCTTTTAAGACTAGTTTTGGCACTATCATAAGCAATGTGTGACCATACAGTGCATATGTCTACTGCAGTCCTTGTCCTGCAAACGTTGACCTAGCTATTTGTTTGATTAGGCTCCAGACCTCCCTAACTTCAGCATTTTCCCCAGCATCTTTTCCCCAAGCAGAAAGCCTGTGCTCAATTAGAGACTGACAAACTCCTTTCAACACCACTCCAGTGATTCAAGATGAATAGTACAAAACATAAGCAGTTCTCGTTGAGGAGGGAGAAGCAGCAGGGATGGAGAAAAACAGAAAATGCCCCAAAAAAATCAACACAAGGAGCAGATCTGAGATCAAGCAGGAAAAAGCAATTAGTGTGTGCCAGATCCTCCATTTCTGCTGCTTCAGTCACATGATGACTCCCTAGAACTAATTTCATTCTGATGATGAACTGCCCAGCTTTAGGGTGAACAGTGGAAGGTGTCTCCTTGCAGACTCTGCATGGCCGAGGGCTAGAGAGAGTAGTTTCCTGAGAGAAGATGAGAGGCCCAAGACTGAGAGTGAAGAACCCACAGCTTCTACTTTCTGGGTAAACGCTTGAACCAGTAAATTAGCATGCCAACATCATTTCTGAGTAAAAGTGGTCAGCACGGAGATACTTTGTATTGGCTTTAGCCTTACTGGTGTAGGAGGCCTGACATGAACATGTCTCCTGGTGACCTGGGCAAAACTTCAGTGCCACTCTGCTCTAAATTTGGCTTGCTGCAGAGGTTCAGGCAGAGCTCAGTATCTAGTTCTCCAAACCACAGAACAGCCATGTTAGACTGACATCAGCACTTTGGGAACATTATACACAAAACCGCAGGTCCTAAATGAATTTGGCAAAGATTGGAACATGACCCTTCTTGATTGCTT